ACTAAGAAAAAGATTTTCCCTAGATTTATTTGAATGCTCGGGACATTGGGACATAAGGAAAATGATTTTTCTCTTTCGTTCTGTATTTGAAGAAAAGAGAGAAAAAGATTTTCGCTAGATTTATTTGAAATAAGAAAAAGATTTTCAATAGATTTATTCGAATGCTCGGGACATTGGGACATAAGGAAATTGATTTTTCTCTTTTTTTTTATACTGGAAGAAAAAGTTTGATTTTGGATAGATGGTTTGTTTTTTATTCTCAATTCGGGAAGATTGATTGAATTGAAAGGTCTTAATGAAGAGAAGAATTTTGTGTTGCATGTTTTTCTTTGAAACAGATAGTTACTTCTTTTTTTTATTATGAATGTATGATTGATACGTTTAAATGTACACTGAAAAGAGATGTAGCTGCAAAACAAAATGAGATAATTTGAAGCTATATATCGACACAAGCAATACAGAACTGATAGAAAAAAAGGTAGCACAACGTTATTATATTTTGGATTGATGCGCATTTAATGAGTTCAGTACTAGACGAATCGAGAAATGGCATATTCGATTATCATTATTTTTTTTTTATTGTTTTTCGTTTGTTTTGATATTTTTTTTTGAACGTTCTGCTTGGTTTTTTTAGTTTATTGTTACTAAATTTAAGAACAGTCAAATCGTGAATATCAGAAGATGTTGATAAAGAATTATTGATATCTAAATGGGAAGAGTGATTTAAAATGTTGTTCTTTTAATATCATATTTAAAATAACAGAAAGATAGTGAAAAATAATTTTTAGTGAGGATGTATTCGTTTTAGAAAAACAAACTGTATTCATACCGGTTATGTGAATAGTTTGAGGTTGAGTAGATGTTATAGAAGTACTTTCATTAGAATTATTAGATATTATTTGATCAACAATATCTAGCATCAATGATGTTGGTAATAAAATATTGGTAATTGGAGATGTTATATTTTGTACTTCCACGTCTGATGTAAGATTATGAATTTCTCGTGAATATATTGGATTAATATTGTTTTGGTCATTATCTATAAAACAAATCGTTATTTGTTAATATGATGTTTTTGGAAAGAACATACCAATCGTTATTTGATTATTGTCGTTTAAATTTTCATTAGAATTCAATGACTGTTCTTAAAACAAAAAAAGAAGGTTCTATGTATATAGAAAATATCTTGTAAAGCAATTTACCGTTTGATCTTTCAATCATATCGTTTTGTTGCGTATTAGAAAATGTTTCATCAGAAATAGAAGATGTATTTGTATTAAAATGATGTGTCGATAGTGGAATGGATATGAATTCTTGTTTATGATGAAGTGTGTTAAGCAAACTAGGAAATGTATCAATTTGTTCAATAATCGTATTTTCTAAAGAGAATTTATATTCAATATTATGAATAATGACTGATAATGAATTATACCTTGTGAATGTTGAAATACGATTGATATTTCATCGGCGTTGTCAGAAGTTGATATGTCATGGCTATCTTGATCATTTTGAAATATGGTTTGTGATTGTATGGGTAATTGATTGAATAAATTGGAAGATTGATAAAGAATTTGATGATTTGAAGTTTCTTCCGGTGATATTGGTACTTAATATGAGGAAGTTTATTATAATAAAATAATAAATATGTATCTTTAAAAAATGATTACGTATTTGTTGATTGTTTGTTGATTGATCAGTTCCAATTGGATTATTTACGAAATGATTATCAGGATTATTTAAATTGTCATTAGAATTTATTGTTATATTATCTATCAAATATTAAAGATGAATTTGAGTGTCGCTTGAGTAGGTAAACAAGTTTTTCTTATAAACAATTGTTGATAATACATACTTTCGAAATGACGTTCGGGATACTTTTGTTTTAATTTGTCATATAAAGATTTGTGTTCTGGTAGCATTAAAAGTTGTTTGGCAGTAACTGTTATTATTTGTTTGTCTTTAATAGTACTGTTGGCTAATAATTGCATATAAATTGTTAAATCAATATTTATATCATTCAATATTTGATCAATCATATTTCGTTTTAGTGAATTAGTTAAAACGGTATCTGATGGATAAGATCCAATAAATATGGTAGCACGTCGCGCAGTGGTTATGAATGCTTAAAAATAAAACAAAATAAAAAATAGAAATAAATCATTTACTTTTTTTTTTTAAATGTTTTATGATTGAAATTAGATGCTGATTTGGAAAGTATTGAATGAGAAATACATAATTGCTTACGTCCTTGTCGTATTAATTCATAATTTGCAAGTTCAGTGAGAGCTGAATTAACCAAATCTGTTGGAAAATGTCGTAATAATCCCATTGGTCCTGTTAAATCTCTTTTATGAAAAATTAATTGTGGCATTTCGATAATACGTTGTCGAATGTTGTTGATTGTTGATTGAACTAAATTAATTATTTTAGAAAATTCGATGAATATAACTTTATTTTATTTTATTTTTTTGTTTTTTTATACTTGATGTTGTTGGATTCATATTTATTTCTTCATTAGAAAGAACAGGATTAACATTATAAAATGCAAATAACATTTTAAGTAAATGACTACATAAAAGCTGACCAGCCAAACGACAACTAGGTGATGTAATTTCCAAAACCGTATTTGTTGATGGATATTTATTTTCAATTATATATGTTGCATTTCGAATAAAAGTAAGACTAGTATCATTATGATGAAGATGATTTTGATCACGAAGAATTCTACAATGAATAAAATTAGTCAAATATATTCTCTTATTCTGGATGAGTGTTGTTTTATATAATATGAAATCAATATTTGTATGATATTAAACAAAACGAAAAGAAATCAAATTTTCTATAATTACTTTAAAATTTCAATTGTTATCTTGATTAATTCAGCAATTGCTGCAAATTTACAAAGAATTTCAGCTGATTTACCCATTCGAGATCCATAATTAATATCATCAGGTTTATCAATTTGAGATAATTCCTGATACTGTCGTATTTTGTTGTAAAATTTTTTTGTACCTGTTCGACTAAGATGAAATATACGTTTTCCAATTAAACGTGAAACAATAAAAATTTGAGTTAAACTAGGTAGATGTTGATCTATTCTGTTGGTACTCTCGTTGTTATATTCATTATCACTAATGTCTTCGTCTTCATCATTATTATCATCATTCGCATCGTCGTATTCCAACGTATGAGAATAATTTAATGTTGAGTGATTTGTTTTCGGCATTGCATAATGAACGAAACTAAAATTTCATTTTAATGATTAACTTGCAATGCAATTTTATTATTGAAAGATAAAAAGATGGTATTAAAGAAATTTAGTGAGGAGAAAAGCTTTTTATGGTTTTAAGAAAATAAAAAAGAAATTGTTTGTATTGTTTTTAAGAATGAAAATAATGAAAACCTTTATTCAATATAATTACCCACCGTTCAGACATCCCATCACTCTGATATCCTTGGGCGTAATAATTAACTAATCGTGGCCACAATCGACCTGTTGTTGCTCCAACAAAAGATAAATGTGATACGATATCTAAATGATATGTCATTGTATCCTTGCTGGTTGGTATAGTACCGAAAAATTTGCATCCAGAAATACGATCACCAGCACTTGATTCGGATAAAGGTGAATAAAAACCTAATTCTAACAAAGGTTTCTCGGCTTCATCTGTAATAATAAAAACATTTGATTTTGCAAGTTTAGCTGATAAAGTTGCAGAAGTAAAATCATCAAGAATTGCGCTATCATCTTTAGATAATCCCAATACTTTCATTGCAGCAATGATAGATTTCTTTATTGGACTGATTATTTTCGATTTCCCAGAGCCTATTAATACATTGTTAGAGAAAATTATTCACGAGTATCTTTACCTGATGGTCCAATTAATAGGAGAAAAATATTCAAATTGGTATTGTGATTTGTTATTGTTACTTCACTATTACCTGCTAAATGTCCAACACATGTAAATAGAGATAATAGAAGACCAGCAGGATCTGTACCATTTGATATTTCAAAGTCTTTCAAAAGGTCGTGTAATAGAGAAAATGACACATCAAGAAGATCACCAACATTAACATGAATATTACGTGCATCGTTTAAATTACGTTGCCAGATTGAATTAGCTAAAGATTCTTGATTTTTATTTAATCTTGTTGACATGATTTAAAATGCGAGATGAATTAATCATATGACTTCAAATATGCACTGACATCCATTTTGAATAGATTGAATAATTACAAAGAAGGAGAGAAAAAAAGGAGCGAACTTGAAACAATTCTAAAAACGATTAACTAATCACAAACGTGTGTTTAAATAACAGAGAATGTACAATCCGCATTGGCAATTTCATAAGATCTCTTTTTATGATATCAATAGAATTATGCTTTCGAACAGGATAGTTCTATTGTTGAAAACAAAAACAAAAACAAAAAATTATTTTCTTTCTTTTAATTATTATTTATTCAATAATTTTCCATATCAATGATCTGTTGTCACAATTAGCATCTTTACATCGAATGGTGTATGTCAAATTTTTTGTATCTATTAATATAGCTATTGTATTGCGTTGATGATGAGCACCTTTGCGAGGACAAAATCGATAGTTTCCTTCTATGTTATAGAATAATATATCTGTATTTCGATTACCACGTACGCATGATCGAATATAACCTTGATGAAGTTTATCTATTTGAATTAATTTCTTTACAAACAATGTAAATCGTTCTTTGTCTGGTTGAGTTGAATCGGTGATCATTGGTGGTATTGTTAATGGTGAAACATTTATTTCATTTATATTGCTAATAGATGTGGAATTTGATCCGAACGTAAAGTTAGTATTAATATGAGTATTAATTTTATTTAAGTTAATAAGATTATTATCGAAGGTTGATGATAAATTTGTTTTATTTGTGTATGTATGAATGAATTGATTGTTTTTGAAATAAATTATTGGTATGTCAATCATTTCGATATAAGTTAGTAATGATTTACGAAGAACATCAAAATAAGAATCTTGTGAATTATTAAACGGAAAATAAGTCGATTGACGAAGAGGATTTCTTTTGCCTATTTTAATAGAGTCAAACAATCTGAATTGTTGATTTTTACAATAGACATTTAAATCAATTGCTAAATTTAAGTGCTTTTGTTTATCTAATACTAGTAGGTGAGCAAATTCTGCAATCGTAATATAACCAATATGTAGTTGGCATTGAATGCAACATGTACGTAATGTATTTACATATGGTGTCAATAATATCAGTAAATCAGAAATCGTGTACTTTTGTGAAATTAAATTGATTTTAAATGACGAGCATTCATGTTGTGTAATTAAAAACAAATAATAATGAATAACACTTTTAATAAATAATCCAAGAGTAAGATTATTTTCGAATAATACACTTGGATTTGCATGAATAAAATGATATGATATCTTTTCGGAAGTTGATCTAGAGATGAGAAGGATAAGGATTTTCTTATTTAACGTTATTTTCATGTCGAGCTATTTATATTTTTAAACACGTATTAAAATACTATTTTGCGTTTTGTTTTCGATAAAAGGTATGTTTAATAGAAATTTCAATTTTACAAAATATAGAGAAAACAATATCTTACGCTTCTAATACGAGAAACTGTTGTAAGATATGAATGATATGATCGCTGTTGTTTTGAACTGTATGATCATGTAAGTTTAATGAAAAATACAATATCTTCAAAAGACATGTGGGTCCAATATAAGAATTTTTAATGTGAAGATTACTATCAATATAATATTCAAAATCAATATATGCTTTAACTTGATTAACAAGTGTCATTAATTCATAAATAGAGCGTTCAATAACATTTGAATGTTGATATAAAATAATTAATTCATCTATTGTGAAATAAGAGAATTGACGATGGTTGTTATCTGTTTCGATGCTAATACATATTATATTTTTTGATTTTTGATTTGATAATTGATCCATTAAATCCACTACTCGGTATGTAACGACTTTGTTTTTAAAAAGTCGTTTTATTAGTTTTACTATCAACGTCATGATGATTTGTAGTATTAAGAATGAATTTTGAAATTATATTCAAAACGCGCCAATTAATTAAATAATAATTTAATATAAATATAAATATAATATTGAAGACTGATTTTAAGCTTTAAAGAAAAATGTTTCATAAAAAATTATTGCTTTTTTATGAAAAGTTTATTTTTTTTGTTTTATTTTTATCTTTTCATTTATTTCATACGTTGCAATATCGAGGGAAAAAAAGATTATTTCATTTTTAATTGCTTTAATACAGTTATTTGACAAATATATTAATCGTCTCTATTAAAATTATTCGGTGCTTTTTATCTAAGGATTATATTTATTTTCTATGTAGTGCTTTTATGTATTAGAACATATAAACAATATTATCTAATATACAGAGAAAAAAAAAACAACAACTGTTCGTGAATAAAAATTTATGTAAATTAATTGATTAATTCATTATGTGATAATGAGTGAATTAAATTGTGAGAGAAAATGTTGTTTTTCTACACGACAGATTATGATAAGGAAGTTGAATGTTGATATTGATTCGAGTATAATAATTATGTAATTGATAATTGTGTATTAGCCATCGTAATAAGAATACGTGCTCCTAAAAAAAAAAAAAGAAAGAATATTTCTCCATGAGTAGCGTATGAGAAAAATTAGAATTCAAATTCTGGTATTAGGTTGTTGAATGGGATCAATATGAACAATACATACCATCGAACCATGATATTTTTACATTTTAAAATTTTATATTAAGACCAACCATATTACGATCGACCAAACGAGCCTAGAAAATAGTTGTAACGATAAAATATAAAATTCTTATTCAACTACTTGGCTATTCCATAAAGTCATTGAGAAATGAGAACCATCTTGATCAATATGTATATCTCGTCGACTCCATATATTATCATTACGTTCACCAGTTGAAATACCAAAATCACGTAAAACACGTCCTTGTACATCTAAAAAGAAACAATTCATTTATTACATTTAATTATTTATTAAATAATTTTCTAATTAAGCCAATACCTCGTTTTTTAAAACAGAAAAGAAATATTTCACATTTTGTTCAATAAAAAAAAAAAAAAAAAGATTTTGACTATCGGACTTTTTCTATAGAAAGTTTAAATTAATGGGAAAAAAATTGATACTAAAAGACTCAATTTTAATTTGTTTAATAAAATATCAAGACAGAATTACCAATAATTGAATGCATTGGAATTGAATTGACTTGATTCAAATGAACGAAATTATAACACGAGTGTTGATGATCAAGTCGAAAATCAATTTCTTTAACAGTTGTTCCATTTGTACAAAGTAATTGAAACTGATGTGATAATGTTTTAAATGCATCCGATGCTGGTCGAATATTTAAGTTTGAAAATTCGTATGCCTATTTATCGTTTGATCATAGTAACTTATTTTTGATTAAATATCGATTACCTTATTTTTTTTCAATTTACTTGACATGGTATGTGAATTAAGATTGAATGCAACCAAAGTGATAGAACCAGATGCATCAGTTAAATCCCAATTTGAGATTTCACCTGTTCCATGTGTATTAAGAAAAGTACGTTTCGGATATTCACAAGTTATTTCAGCTCGAATTTTCCACCTATAATAGAAATATTTATTATGACCAAACTAAATAAAAATATCAAATAAGATCCAGTGCTTAATATTAGAAAATAAGGAACGGAAATGGTTTGTAAAAATATTTAATTTCATACGAGTAGCATTAGGAGCAACGAATAAACATATGAACATAATGCCGTATATCAATTACTAGTAAGATTGTTCGGAAAAAAAATGATATAAGGAAAAACTTACAGATATGTTATATTATTATTGATTTCGGCAATGTTTATGAGAACGCGTTCATTGTCTAAAATAGAACCAATTATAAGAATGAAGTCAATAGTTTTTATTTAAGTATATTAAATAATAGTTTTTTAATAGAAAAATCATTTGGAGCTTTAATGATTTAAATGATCATGTTTATTTCGAAAAAAAAATTTCAGATAATTTTCTACCATTTAAAGACATCAACTTGTTGGCTTACCTTGATGATCATTATTCATATTTTGTATAATGGATTCAGTTGATCTGTTGATTGACAAATCGATGTTGACGGAAGATATTTCAATGTCTAGAAAAAAAAATTCAGTGGTGAAAATGATTCTTTCATTGGTTTATATAATTAATAATAAATAATTCACTCGTTTCTAAACTCTGATTATCTTCATTTGTATTTTGTCGAATTGATTCTTCTAAAGTATGAGATAATGTTTTAGTATTTCTAGAATTAAATAAATAAATATTCATATTAATGTCATCATTGAACATACATTTCATTGCCAATATTATCATTTGTTAATTCAGAAGTATTATAAATTGGTGTACAAGATTCCATTCTTCTTAATCTATAACAAAACGAATAAGATTTGTTTAGATTATCATTTATATACAAGTCATTATTGGAACTTCATTGAAGAAAACAGAATTGAACAAACTGAAATGGCTCCAAATAAGCGTTCTCTCTATGTTTAATTAAGAGTTAATGAGATGAAGTGTTTGCATGGCTTTCATACGAAAAAATCATTTTCTTTCACATCAATAAAATTAAAAAGAAAACGTTTTTTTTTGTTTAATCATTAGAATAAAAGTGACGTATTCTAAGAACTAATCTACCATTCTATTAACTATTGAAATATTTAATGTTGAATAGATTTTTATTTGGATAAAAACCGAACAAAAAAAAATATACTTGTCACTTGTATCATATGAATAGGAATGATAATAATTATCATTTGGTTGAAATACACTCGTCAGGAAGCACATGACTATCATCAGATTTTTCTCATCAACTATTTATTAATTTTCAATTTCAACGAATCTTTTTATTAAAATAAGAATTTTCTTAGTAACACATAGTTAGTTTATATAGTTTATTTTTATTTGAACACATGAATATAATGATAAAGCAACTAAAAAAAAAAAAAAAAAAAATATAATTTTATGATGAACATTAATCTAATAATTAAGACTTAAACATTTCAATTGACCTATATGAATCAGTATCTATCTATTAATAAACTCTCCAAATTATTAAATAAGTCATCAACAATATTGAAAGGAATCAAATCTGACAAGACCACATCCCACATATACAGCATAAGAGATTTTGATAGTGTAAATGGAAGAAACAGTCTTTATGCATTGCATAGGCACATAGATATTCAAATAAAGAAACCATTTCTTACTTTCGTCCATATAAATCAAAACACATCAATAACGTAAAAGAATGATGATCTGATTCTGGAAGCTAAGAAAACTAATGAATGACAAATAATAAAATCTGGATAAATATCATAATTGTCTCGAGCAGATGGAATGGGGGGAAAAAAAAAGTTTTTAATAATTTTGATATGGGAGGGTATGATTTATTTTTCAAATTTTCAATGAAATTAGTAAAGAAGTTTCTTGTATAAGTAATGTGTTTTATGCGATATGATCTACATTCATTTTTATAAAGTTTTGATTGTTTTCTTGAATTACAATATAATTACATTTGTATTTATGAGTTTGTTTATTTATTTATATTAATATCGAATATTCATATTTACGTTTTTATCTTTTCTTTTTCCTTTTTTTTTACATATATCTGTTTTATAAGTGAGATTTTTACTATTCCATGTTTTGTATTTTTTTAAACAGAGATAGTATAGACTGGAATAGGATTTTCATCGAAGAGAAATAAATGGAAGATATACTAAGTAATTTATTCAATTTATTAAATTTTTTTTCTTTTGTTATTTGATTACACACATATGATTTTGAGAGATGTTGAGCAAAAAAAAACAAAAAAAAGGCTATATTGTATTAGATATTAACAAATGGAGTGTTTGTTTTTTTTTCGTTTGAAGAGTTTGATTGAGTATTATTAATATAAATATTTAGATTAAACACAAACAAAAAACAGAAAACAATAAAAAAATCATTTAGATATTGTTTTTACATAAAATACATTTACCACGATGACATTTACTACAACATTTTATTGATTGTTTCTTACATGGACATCGATTTGTATCACATGAACCAACGCATTTGCAAACTTGATATGATTTATACTGTGTAAATTTTTGACAAGCCTGAATAAAAGTAATAGATGATAATGTTTTGATATCTAATTGCCGTAATTCAGATGATATAGTTTTGGATAAGTCAGTAAAATCAGAAGATGAAAATGAGTCAGAAATAATTCCATATAAAGTAGCTACTTTATAGGTCGTATTTAAAGATTCTTCTTTTGTAAGTACTTGAACTATTCTACATGGTAGAATGGATGGTGCCATATTTGAACGATCGACATTGGCAATTTTTAAGCCTATTATATCATTTATTTGAAATATTTTTTGTTTTTTTAAAGCCCGTTCGTAATTCTTTAATTGACGTTCTAAATTATAAATACAATATTTCTGTTATCGAATACATTATAACAGAAAAAAACAAAAAATACATAGTAACATACGCACATATCTAATTCTATTTGATAAAAAACAAAAAGAATTTTACCTGCTGTTTGAAGGTAGCATATTTCAGCTTCATCACGAATTCTTTTATGTGAGGTATTTTCACAAAATTTACTACGAAATTAGAATAAAGTAGAAAATTGAATTCATACAATCAATTACTCTGCAAATTCAGTTTCAGATATATTTGATAATAAATTTGAATTTGATGAAGAAATATGAATACATGTAGAATCTTTCGTGGTTGACTAAAAAAAAAAAAAAAAAAAAAAATTAAAAAACACATTTTTTTACAAAAAAACTGGTTCATTAAACAAATTGAAATCAATAAGAATCGATTCATCAATTTCTTCTTCATTAATAACTGAACAATTTTTTGATTGTTTATATATTTCCTGCCAGAAATCATGATCAATACGTAGAGCTTGACCAAAAACCATTTCATATGCTGTTTTTTTGGTAGCTTGTGACATTGAATTATTCATGGCTAACATGACTGATCCTTAATATTTAAAAAAAAAAAAATGATTTATCAGTTATATTTAATATATCGAAATATCTGATACCTAAAGCATCAGGCCAATTAAGTGTTTTATTTTTTTCTAAGTATTTTCCTAACATCTGTTGTACTACAGCATTAGATCGCTCTACGAGACCCTGGCTTTGAGGATGTCGTGGTCGTCTATTAATGATTATCAAATCAGGCCAATTTATTTTAAGATCTAAAATAATTTTTGCTCTATTAGAAAAAGAAAAATAATGTATGATTTTTATCTTAAATTAAATATTACACAAATTCTTTTCCATTATCGCTTTGTAAAATTTTCGGTGGCCCGAATGTGTAAAACATGTTACGTAAATTATTAGCTACATGAATAGCTTCTTTTGATGGTAAGGCATATAACCAAGTAAACTTGGTAAAATGATCCTTAGCGTGCATGATAAAATTAAAACCGTCGTATGATACACTACGCATATCGATTAGATCGACTTGTAATCGTGTTAAGAATCCAATAGAAACAATTGGTTTTCCACTAATTGGAGTTGGAAACTAGCGACGTATTTGACAAGCGTCGCACATGTTGATATAAATTGACACAGCTTGTTGAGGAATGCCAGCATAAAAACGTTTAATCTATATGAAGGTTATGCTATAATTTGATATGAAAATAAAAATTATTAACCTCTGCCCAAGTTTTATCTCTTCCTGAGTGACCGACAGCAACGTGAGAATCAACAACTCTATAATAAATTTGTTCATGTGTAACAAGTGGTAAATCATTTTTTATAACATAAACTAAATCTGTTGAACCTATTTGAACAAGTCGAAATGTTTGTCTAACCCAAAACTTGAACTTTGCTGATGTATTCTTATTGTTTTCTTTAAGAACATTTAAAATGTCCAAGTACATATCACTTTTGATTGTATATTTATTACGTTTTTTTATATCCAAGGTATCAATATATGTTTGAAATTTAGAATAAAAAATATCCATTTCACTATTATCGTTCATCGTTAAAACAAATAAATAAGTTGATATACAAGAAACTCCATGTTTTATACTTAATTAGTGTCTGATTCATAGCGACAAACATCGATAATTAAAAGTCAAATAAATAAACGAATGATTATAGAAAAATTATATAGGAGTAAATTTTACTAAATTATTAAAAATGCAATAGTAGGATTAGTAAAAAATTATTTCGAGCAGCTGGGATGGGAAATGGGAACGAGTTTTCTATTTCGAATAATATGGAAAGAAAGTAAATGTTTGCTTTTAAATTTTTTAGTGAAATTAATAATAAAACTCAAATTAATAAACAAATGATAAAAAAAAATAGATATTAATAGATTCTACTAAACTTTTAAAATATATAACTAGGACAAACAAATATTTACATTATCATGTAAGAAAAATATTATATATAACGATGTATTCTATTTCCTTTTAATATTAAAATATCAGTTCAACAAGATACATTAATTACTCGATGACTTATACAAACGATAAGAGAGTGCGTTGAGATATAAGAAAAAAATATGAAATAAATTTTATTTTTTATTTTTTAGTCATCAATTTGAAATAGATATCTTAATTATGATCAATTATAAAATATTTTGCTAATTCTAACTCATAGACAAATTTTCTAAATAGCTCTTATATATTTTCTTTACTTTTCTTTCCTTTTTTTTTGTTCTGTGTCTATTTTCTCTGTTTTTTTTTTTAATTAAATCTACTATTCCAATCTGAACTGAATTCTCATGTGAACTGTAACATATATATAGCTACCACTGGTGTTGAGGTTCGCAAGAAAATTCTTAAAACAATTTTTCAATGTTTTTCTTTTTTGTTTTAATAGTGAA